AGACCAAGCGGTCGCATATGTGCATAATTATGTATATGAACTGTTTGTATATCTGTCTAGCTGCAACATACATATTTATGTATGTATATACACAACATTGTGTTGTTGGTAGAAAATCCGAGCTGTGTCGAAAACAACAAACGAACGATCACCGATTGTCACCAATAAACCATCGTAAATACATGTATGTATGTTTATGTATGAGCATGCATATATGTATATCGACGCAGATTTTTGCGAGCCATGTACAAATATTTTAGAATTATAAAATATTTTAAATCGATAAGAGCTATGTTGCCATTTTTGTCACTTTTTTCTGTGTTTGCCGGGTTGACACCTTTCCCTTCCACAAGGTACATCGGAAAGTTGTTCCATTTATGATTTTTAGCTTTTGCCATCGTCGCGAAAAAACGCTTGTGGGCAAACACATGCTCGGGAAGATGTGTATGGCGTTTACTTTTATGAATGAGTCAAATTCGCTTGTTAAGAGTACGCCTACGTTCATGAATGAAAATGTTGTTGTTGTGTGATTTATTATAAATTTGGGCTACAGCAATTTGGCTGCCATATTGACATGTGTGTGTGCTGCTTATGCTACTTGAGACGATTGTTATTTTTGTAGAACAATGTTTGTAGTTTTTGTTCGGCAATGTCATACGCACATATGTATTTCCATATGTATAGAGAAGTGCGCGCACATTTTGTATCGTCATGCAAACGCAGACTAAAAAGTTTGAGACAATGTAATAAAAATTTCACTTTAAAATTAGAAGTCTTAATGTATCATAATATTATTAGATCAATACATGTAACACCTATGCAATTTACAAATCGTATTTCTGAAAAACTCAAAAGATTAAAGTTGACTTTATATCTTGTCTTATTTCCTGTATCAAAATATCACGGTACACCTTCCATTGCTCTTTTTAGATCTATAACTCTTCAATTAGATTATATACTGAAAAACTCAAAATATTAAAGTTGACTTTATATCTTGTCTTATTTCTTGTATCAAAATATCACGGCACACCTTCCATTGCTCTTTTGAGATCTATAACTCTTCCATTAAATTAGATATTAATTTTTTTTTATTGCAAATGGCATTATTAGAATTATAGTAAAGACCATCGAATTTTTAATAAGCTGATTTTGTAATCCGTGTATTATAAATATTAAATTTAAAATCTTTAATAATGAAACTGTTCCCACTAGTATTAAATTTATCTGTTAACTCTAGTGCAGATAATTTAAGAGTCAGCGTCAGTTGCGGTAGGCGAATGATATTATATAAGATTGATAATTGTGTAATTTTTTCACATAATTTAAATTTTGTTAAAATTAACCAAATGTTATTTCCAATTCCGGCTTACTTATTTGATGGTTTAATATTCTTTTATATGAACTCATAGTTTTAACTTGTGTGCTATTTATGGTATTTATGTTTTTGTTATTTAAGTAAAGTATGATCCGAACTGCAAATAACTCCAAAAATCGATGCGGATCGATTCAGTGGTTCGAATCACTCAGAAAATACTTGTACGCGTACATGAACCAATTTATGAGTATCTCCAATAAAATCACCGTTCGGCTCGATACAAATTTTTAATTTTTACATTATAAGTTATATGAAAAACTTATAAGGTATATATGGTACATAGTATGTATGTACGAAAATAAGAAGCTTTGTAATTGAGATTATTGAGATCATTCATGTACAATATTTAGCAAAACTTTGCAGCTTTAATTGCAAAAATTAATACATTCACCTAACTTGATGTGAAAAATACAAATAGTTATTATATACAAGTATATGTATTTGTAGAACGACAATACTGGCATTATTTTGTAATAATACATTATTTTACTAATTTAAAAGCGAACTACGAAGTGGAGTTCATACCTGAAGAAGTTAATATTTACCGTTTAAAAAAAAAAAAAATTTTTAATTGCACGGATTTACTTGATTATTCTGTATTTATCTTTATTAATATAATTTCTTTTAACAAGTATTCGTCTATACTTACTCTTAAGTCTGATAAAATAAATTTTAAAGCTGAAAATGCTCTTTCGACTCACACATATTTCACATTTAGATTTGATTTTATACCACCTATATTATGTTCGACAAGTTCATGCCGGTATGCTTCACAAATATTTTTTTCATGACAGTGTGTATTAAAAAGTTGCCATTTGCAATATATCATATTTTGTGTGCATTTATTCTGATTATGGACCTGTCTAACCGACTAACACATACTACTTTTATGGAAACACCTTCAGAAAGCTGCTAAAAATATCGCTGTTGCATACCCTCCAACGCATCCGACTGTAGCTTTATATTAGGTAAAGTAAAAAGTTCCTTCGGTTTTTTTATTGATTTTTCAAAAGATGATAACTTTGTGTACATTTGTCCGATTTAAGTCAAATATGCGCCGTTTTGTTCGTAAACTTGTTGCCAACGAGATGCCAACTTCATTATGCCCCTCTCGTAGAAGACTGCGTCCCTATTGCCAAAAAACTCGGAGAGCCAATTTTCACAGGCGTCTCTTGAGGCCAAATTCTCACCATTAAGCGCGTTCGCCATGGACAGGAAAAGATGGTAATCACTTGGTGCCAGGTCCGGACTATAAGGTGGGTGCATTAGGACCTCCCATCCGAGCTCCCGGAGCTTCTGGCGAGTCACCAAAGACGTGTTCGGCCTCTGTTGATCAAAGATGGCCTCTTCTGGATGAGTGCTGCCTTCAAGCGGTCCAGTTGTTGGCAGTAGAGGGCCGAATTGAGCGTTTGACCATAGGGGAGCAGCTTGTAGTAGATGATTCCTTGCCAATCCCACCAAACACACAGCAAAACCTTCCTGGCCGTCAATCCGGTCTTGGACATCGTCTGGGCCGCTTCCCCGAGCTTTGACCACGACCGTTTGCGCTCGATGTTGTCATAAGTGACCCATTTTTCATCGCCAGTCACAATCCGCTTCAGAAACGGGTCGAAATTACCGGAACGGAACCTAGCAAACCTTTTTTGTGCCACACGTTCGTTTACAGTATCGGGCCAGTAAACTAAATTAATTTTTTCAGCCGCTTTGGCTGCTTTTTCGCCTTGATCGATGAAAAATTGTAAAATATAGCGAATTTTCTCTTTGCTGGTGTCCATCTTTGACGAGCGCTCACAACGAACTGAGTAAATCAATCGACACACTGTCAAAGACAAACTTTTAGCGCGAATAAACACCAGCGCCGTATAGTATGACATGGTGCGACACGTAACACTAGTACTATGGACAATAACACCATCTCTTAGATAAAAACCGAACGAACTTTTTACTTGACCTAATATTATATATTGAAATTTAGTATTGGGTCTACTTCGGTACCTTCCTTCTTACTGTACCGATAATGAAATTTACGTGTGATTGAATAACGTCGTTTAGCTGCCTTTTTTACTTTTTATTTTAATATCTTTTGGTGGTTGATTACAGTATCAACAAGCGATCTATTTTATTTTGGAATCTGCTATATTCCTTAAGTTTAAGTGGACGTTTTTGTGGCTAGCTGAGGGCGACTTGCTCATAATATATTTTCCAATAATATTTTGATTGGAGTCTTTTTTGTCTCTTTGAAATTTACAATGTTTACACTTCCTTTTATGTACCGGATTTAAACTCTATTGAAAAATCTTGAATTTGGCCAACTTCTGAATAGGAAAAAGACGCGTTTTAAAATTATAATAAGGAATGGCACCTTGGGTTTTAAGGGCTCGAGGGAACGATGAAAATCGCTCAAAGATATCAGTATCATTCGATGTTGTTTAGAATGAGTCGATTTTTCGGGCAATTATATAACGCATGGGCGATTTTGTCCAAGAATTGGGAGATTCTGTTATCCTTCGGGGGCCATTCCACCAGAGGGTGGTGGTGGCAAGGTGCAGGGAATTGCACCCTCTTGTACCTAGATCGACAGGATTGTCAGGATGATCCCACTAGGTTAAGTATTTGAGACGTTCGATTTGAGATATACGTCTTCCATGCATATGTCGGGTTTTCTAACCAGGTTAGTCCAATTTCGGAATCGGACCATGTTTAAATGCGTTTGCACCATGGATACTAATTTAGCTAGTAATACTGCGCCACTTAGTTCAAGTCGTAGAAGACTTAATGCTTTTCGGGGAGCCATTTTTTCCTTCGTTACTAATAAGTGACTTGTGGTCGCCGTATCGGTGAATGTGTGCACTTAGATGAAGGCGCAATATGCATTTTCAGAGGCGTCGTGTAGCTCGACTTTATAGTCTGGGGAATAGATTGCTCATCGTGGGATTTTTATCTTTTTATCGTATCTTATCTTATATGCGCTGGGTGTGAGCTTGTTATAATGAAGCATAGAATCATGTCCTTTATGACAATAAATTTGTACAGTCTTTTTGTTATTATAAAACTGTTTCGATCGGTAATATTTAATTTTTTGAATCTCGCAAGACTTGAGCCTTCCTGTGGATAGGTTGCATGACGTTTGTTTATACTGTTCGGATGTGAACGATTGATTTTTGAAAAAGCTCCTATTTAAGCGGTTGTTGCTGCTAGCATGGGGTCTATTGAAGATTCCATTTATTGTGACCGCTATTTCATGTGACCGCTATTTTTTAATTTGTTTCTCTTATTAATAGTTATCTGATAATAATATTGTTATAAAAATGTATTCAGTACTTCTCCAACCCCATTAACTTAATATGAGGATTTTCACACTTTCAGTTGACTCGAACAATTCTTCCAGATTTTCTTCTTCGAAGAAAAGCAACTTTTATATGTATGTACATATTGTAAAGTAAAAGGAAATGTCATTAATTTCTCGTAGGGCATTATTTTTACGCAGCTCCTAAATTTCCACTGGGTAATAAGTAGCTGGACACTATTTTTCCATGGTTGTAACTATTTCTTTGCTGCTTAATTTAACTTATAATTCTTGGATTACCGGTGCGATTTTTAATATAAATTATTTTTTCTCCGACAGGCTCAAGTTGGTGGCTGTGATAAGGAGGTTGGACCGAAATCTACCTCTCTGCAATCCCATTTCCAGAAAGATGATGTACTCATTGGTGATTCTACTAGTATAGCAAATGATCAACTTAATTACCAAAACGCCGTTGAAGGTCAATGTGGGTTTAGATGTGATGGCTCGCCAAAAAAAATACAAAGATCAGACGGCACTAACGACGATGGAGAACCAAATTTTAATCAAAATTTGAATGCAATTGACCCACCTATAAAAGGTATATATTTAATTGTAGTTATGAAAAGTATTTGCTGTACTACTACTACTACTACTACTCTAAGTTAACTGAAACCAAGTAAAACCAATTACAAAAATAAGTGACCGATTGCTTCGTATTCGAAATGTCCGCTTTAACTTGAAATTGCATAATATAATTGGTAAATTCGACATATGGTGGCTAGGAGACAGTATTGGCCTATTTTATTATCTCTTTTGTATTTATTTATTATTATGTGACAATATGCACATAATCTTATTAAAATATTTCAGGAACTAAGCTATGTGTATCGAAAATATTGCGATTAGGAATATGGCATTCGATGGTAAATGTTACGGCTATCGGTATCTATCTTCCCACAGCACTTACATAATGGATATTGTACCGAAACTAACTAACGATCTATATCTTTAACCCACAATTTATTTAATAGATACCAAATATGATTATAATCGTTTTGAGGATTCGTTTTTCCACTGAAGGATGGTATAACTTTCAATTCTTTTTAATGTTTTACACCCTTAACAGGGTATATTAAGTTTTCCATGAAGTTTGTTACACTCAAAAGGAAACGTTGCAGACCATATAAAATATATATATAAATGATCAGCATGACGAGCTGCGTCGATTTAGCCATGTCCGTTCGTCTGTCTTAATGTACGCGAACTAGTCTCTCAGTTTTTCAGATATCGATCTGAAATTTTGTACACGTTCTTTTCTTGTCGAGAAGCGGCTCATTTGTCGGAACCACTGATACCGGACAATTATAGCTTATAGCTGCCATACAAACTGAACGATCGGAATCAAGTGCCTGTATGTTAAGCTATTTCATTTGATGAGATATTTAACTAGATACGTAATCGTAAATACATTTTTCACAAATTTCTGCAATTTTGATATCTCAATCTTGCAGAGGTTTATTTGTCTTAACCGTGAACTTTTTATTGTATTATTAGAAATTTCAAGAATATTTGGCAGCAGCAAGAAATTGCCAGTTACTAAAATTTGATAATATGAGTATAAAAAACCGTTTGTGGAATATTTTGTATATGACAGTTTCTATCATCATTGTTATTTTATTATTCCTTGGCGTTGTTATTCTGTGTAGCATATCGTGCTGTATTGTGTAGCAATTAACGCGTGTTTGGGTGCGCGGATATGCATAACGCATAGTTGTTTATATTTTTGAGTGATGTGAATATGAAAATGAAAAATTACGTTATTAACTCGCGCAACATTTTTATTTATAAAAATACGAAAATAGCATGAAAGATCGATTTTTATTACCTTTTTACCTTACGAAAGTATGTATGGACCCTGCATGTAATATAATCTTCACGTCACAAACAGTAGCACAACAATAAATCTCGAGATTAATCGTAGCTATATATACGGACTTTAAACGATTTGGGATAGATTCCACTAGGTTTTTAGTATATTCCGGACTTATTTTATCCAATTTTTCTAAAAGGGCTTTTTAAGTCATTTTTGCTCGAAGGAAACATAGTATACTTTATTTTAATTTCCAATTTATTTTCAATTACGATATACGATTTTTTTTTCAAATATTTAAATGTTGATATTTATCCATAATCTCTTCGACAAAGTGCAATTTACCAATACCACCAGCTGAACAAACACCCCAGACCATCACGTGGCCACCACCGTACTTAACTGTCGGCCGCAAATATATAGGATCCATCTCCTGACTTGGTTTTTTGCACACGTTAACTCTGCCATTTGATCCAAAAATATTAAGCTTGCTTTCATCCGTCTTTCCAGAATGTAAAATCTTTCTCAATGTAATTGTGGGCAAACTCCAATCGCAGATATTCAAATTTAATGGGGAATGTGTATTATATCGAAAGAATATTCTTGAGCCTTTATTGTTTTAAGACAATCTCTTTCAAATATTGGCCGTGGGTACGTGGTAGATGGTCCATCCGTTGAGTCTAATTTTCGATGACTCGTTCGATCATTTGGACTGGTAACTGACGAATGACACGCATGATGTTTTGCTCCAAGGCCTGAATCGAAGTAAAATTGTCCGTATAGACTTTAGACCTTACATATCCCTACAGGAAAGAGTCTAACGGTGTGATATAACACGATGTTGGTGGCCAATCGACCGGCCCAAAACGTGAAATCTTGTTGAAACCAAATGTCGCCGAGATCACTAGCTTCAATTTCAGGCATCAAATAGTCGGTTATCATGGCGCGATAACGGTCGCCATTGATATTTACGTTCTCACCGGCATAATTTTTAAAGAAATATTGGCCAATGACCACCGGCTCACAAACCACACCAAACCGTTGTTATTTCTGGATGAAATGGCAGGTCTTGAATCTCTCCAGGTTGCTCTTCGTCCCAAATGCGGCAATTTTGCTTGTTTATATACCCATTAAGTCAGAAATGGGCCTTATCGCTGAACAAAATTTGGCAAAAAAATTCTGTACGAACTTGAATTTCCGTAATAAAGTTGAGCAATTTGTAAACGTTGTTTAGGCGTGAGTCTAAACTCACACGTGATCTGTCAAAAAAGGCTATTGAAAAAAAGTACCTCTACTTGGATCACTCGCTAGTACGGCGGTAAAGTAAGAACTAAACAATTTTATTAGTACATTAAAGACGCGCTCATTTCAACGCCAGAACGTGTTTTGAAGTAAACGGACCAAAACAATAGATGATTCCGAAAAATACCGTTATTTTCCGCTGCTCTGCTAGGGTGGACCATTTTTACTGTGGCATGCAGTTGACTCCTATTTTGTTAAAAATTTATTTTTATAAAAGAATTTATTGAATTAAAATATATGTTTTTTTCTATTTGTAATCTTAATAAATTAAGCTCATTAAATTTACCAAAACTTAAGGTATTAATATCCTAGATTTGTTTGCAGCTAAATGATTGTAGTTACAGGTGGACCATTTTCATTGTGAGCCACTGTAGTGTTAGTTAGTAGTATTTGTTTCATAGGCAACACATATTTCAAAAAATTATCAACAATTTGTACATGTGTATAAAGGAAAAAGTAAGTAAAATTATTTAAAAAAATTATGTATTTTCTTCCACAAAAAAAAAAAAAATGGTTTAAGTTGTGTTTCTTAAAATACTGCGGTTTTTTTACCATGAAAGTACAACATTGTGCTCCTGGTCAAGTGGTGATATTTGGTAACAAACATCTGATATTCGATCGTAGTATAGTATACATTTTAGTTAACGGTTATTTGTAACATATATGTAAGTATATATGGTATGTATAAATGGCAAGTTGAATTTTAGGTAACCGTCGGTCTGTGCAAGCGATAACTAGAGCAAAAATTAAGCTATCTTGGTGAAACTATGCATACATTATCTTGAAATCTTCTTAAAGTGCGATAACGCACTAAATAGGGATGTCCAAGAATAAAAGTGTAAGGGATTTCTCCATAAATCGTCTTCCTTGTAACTCACTTTTGAGTTCGATCACTGGATTGTTAAATAAAAGTCATAATTTAATGACTATACACTTATCTGTATTTTTAATCTAAACAACTTAACGCTTTACTACTCATTATCTGAATTTCCAACTTCGTACTTATATCTTAATTGCTCTTTACAGAGCAATCTCTAATTAGAACTATGTCTGTTTCCCAATCCGGCAGCCCTTATATAGTAGATCTTCAACAAAACTTCGCCACTAGAACATTCTGACAACTACAAATTCGCTGTCTAGTTGATTCTGGCAATTTATCTTCCAATCGAGTTTGTTCTATCATCCCTGTTCGTCACAATAGAACACAAGATTACGCAAGTACTTACTGTTATTTTTTCGGTTTAGGCTGTGACAGTTGTTACAAAAACTAATTGCTCTATACCCCCATCTTGTGACGTAATTCTTTTGAGTTGAGAAGAAGAAGCATGGAACAGCATGCAAATTGTACACAAAAACGTAAAGACGTAAACACTTAATTTATTAGTGTATAGTGAAATGAATAGAATATTATTGCGTCAAAATATTTTGGTCATTTTCAAATAAATACATTTATCTATGTGCAACATATTTACCAATCAATAAAAAGTTGGACTATTCGACTCGGTGAAAAAATATCTTTGCTTGACTCACATATGTACCCTGTATGCAGACTTTTTCTAATGAATTTTTTATTCGTCGGTATGTTTTGCTTTGTTTATATGGTATTGTCAGACATTTAATCACTTTTATTTTCATAAAACTATATATTTAATATCCTTTAATGAACATCAAATAAATTGGTTTTTATAAAAAGTATATAAAATTATTTTTTCCAACGACTTATTTTTGTTGGTACTTTGCACGCAGACTTTTTCTGCCTGGTGTATATCCTTTTAACATGTGGAGAAACTATTGTAATATTTATTTGTTATTTTGTGATTTATTAAAACAATTGATTTTTGAACTCTCAATATTTAATGTCAACCAAACGTGTTAGCTCTCAATTAATAAATGTGTTTTATCATTTTCAATTAAAACTAATACTACGAGGCATGGCATCACAAATATTTCATCACATAATATAATATTAGAGTTTTAGGTACCACAGCGGACCATTGTTCTAAGCTGTCCAAGTAAGATCCCTGTTAGAATCGATCTTTTCTTAAAGCCAATCGAAAATTTCGCTTTGAAGGTCAGGTTAGCATTCACCACAACAAAGTTAAATTGTTAATTGACATGTCGCAAAAGTTTAAGTTTTCATTAACCTGACGTCGATATAATTATAGTTACCTTAATGCCAAGGTCTTAGGTACTCTCTTGCTATACATAAAAACCAATTGAAAAGTATAATATTTATTCGTGAGCCCCTTTTCTTTAGTTGACGGAATGCGCGGATATATCAAATTCTTGACACTTCCCAATTCTATTTTACAGATTCAAGGTATAGAACTAATGGAATAATAGTTATTGTAGATTTCTCATATTCTGCACATTGATGACTATTTTTTTGTTAGTATGGATAGCAAACCAGATAGAATCCAACTTTG